TGAACTGAACTGAATAAACCATGGACATTGTAATTAATATTGTGGCATAATTGCCCAAGGCCGCGGTCTAAGGCATGAACTGTCTTCGCTCGCTCGAATACTGGGATCGTGGGTTCTAATCCCACTCAAGGCATGGACGTCTGTGTGTGTGCTGTCCTGTATGAACCTAGGTAGCAGCCTTGCGACTGGCTGATCACTCGTCCAGGGAGTCCATCCGTGTAAGAAAGGTTACAAAACTGAAGAAGAGGCCAGGGCCCAAGAAAGGGACGTAGAGCCATTGATGAATGAATGAATATTTGCTTAGCCAGCAGAGACAGTAATTGCTAGGGAACGATTCTACAAACACTCCCTTTCCTAGACAACAGATTCGTAACACGCAACAATGTAGTAAGCCGTGTTCTCTATGCCTTCCGTGTTATAGCTACGTGATGCAACAACAGTATCTGTTGGGAGAGACGTTTTCTATGCGGTCCGTGTCGGGGCTACATAAAGAGTCGATTGTGCGTTTATTGAACTTTCCAACAACTCATGACCACATTTTACAATTCAGTATCACACACAGATTAGTGTTCTCCGTCACGGTCTTGACTGCGCTGCTTGGTAGCGGCTTTCAAAGCGAAACGTCCTCAGCTTCCGTGTCCAACGGCTCCTGTCCTCGATGGCTGGTATCTTTCAGCTGCAGCTCCCGAGCTGAACCAACTGGCTTCCTACTGATGAACTCATAAGTCAAAGTCAAAGTCACATTGCGACTGACGGACAGTCAGTTGGGGCTCATGACCAAATTTTTTTTTTATATGAAAGTTACCGTCCTGTTCATTTGGGGCGCCCTCTCTGACGAAAGGTCGGGTCTGTCATTTGTCAGTCATAATCTGTGTTAGTAAATCCACTGTCAGTATTTACATATATTTACAAATTTAATCTTAATTCCTATTTCTATGTACAATATATAGAGGCTGCAGGTAACTTAATAGCTTCGTACATTTAGGGTCGTCAGCAAACAGAAGACGGTTTAAGTGATTGATTACATCACATAAGTCAGTAATAGAAGTATTAAAAAGCATTGGCTCCAAGACTGAACCGTGACGTACACCCAGTGACACAATGAAAGGCGACAGGACTACACTATGATTGCGTACAGAGGACTGTTTGTTAGGCAACTGCGAAACCAGTTTGAGTAACCGGAAGGTAGTCCCAAAGCATTATGTTTGTGGGAAAGCAGACCATGTAGAATAATGTCGAAATCTTAGTAAGTCAAAATAAATAGAAACTCCGACTGATTTTGATGGCCACGGTCGTTTTATAGCATTTTGAATATCGAGGTTAGAGATGGGAGCTAGAGATAGAACTTCCGTACTTGAGTAAGACAAGAAACGGGTCTAGAATAAAAATTACCACGAATGAATTGAAAGCGTTTTGAAAAGGCCTCAGCAGTGTGATAAGGTTTAGTTTAAAAAAGTCCATCTATTGCAGGCTGCACTGTCTGATTTAATGACTGTTTTAACAAGTATACAGTAGAAAGAAAATTTCTTATAAAAGCTGTCAGTGGTGAACTTAAAACGCATGGCGGTTCTGTGGGACGTTTTTGTGAATGAAAATATCTAATAAAACTGGCAACCATGGTACGTGCAGTGAAATAGCCCCTTTGTCTTTGATGGTGAAAGTCGATGTTGCAGCATATGGTCCCATGCCAAATTTAGTCAAAATCTTCTCACTGTAGAGTAGTCGTAAGACGCTGCAGGCTGACATGGAATACCTTTCTTTTCTATATTGCGCATATGAAGATTGGTAGCGAGTCGCACCAGTTCTGAAATCCACAGTAGTGCGAAACTTGTGTCCAACATTACGGTACCGCAACGTAAGAGCTGTAACTTGAATCATCTCAGTGGCCGCTCGGTATAAGGCATGAAATGTCTTCCTCCGCTCAGACACTGGGATCGGGGGTTCGAATCCCACTCTAGGTATGGATGTCTGTGCGCGTGTCTTGTTTGTTTGTTTTGTATTGTCGTGTGTAAGTAGCGGCCTTGCCGGTCACGGTAGCCGAGCGGTCTAAGGCATGCACTGTCTTCATTCGCTCGGAAGCCGGGATCGTGGGTTCGAATCCCACTCAGGGCATGGATGTTTGTATGCATTTTTCTGTGTTTGTCTACAGGTAGAGGCCTTGCGACGAGCTGATCACTCGCCCAAGGAGTCCTACCGCATGTGTAAGATCTAGTAAACCGAAGTGAAACGGAGAGTTTCATGGAGGTAGGCCTAGGCCCAAATTGGGGCTGTAGCGCCACAGAAAAAAAAGTAGGGACCTTGCGACAGGGCTGATCCCCCGTCCAAGGATTCCACCAGCTGTATATGAGATACGTAATTCCTGATTAATTCTGATAGGAACAGGCCAGAGGGCTTAATTTATCAATGAAGAAGGGGAAGGCAATTAATATTAATTTTTTCTTCGCATAATTAAATTGTGTGATGTTTCTGATTAAGATGTTTTATCTTACATCTCCTAAATAAGTTGAATTCTTTTATTTCAGCGCTGTTCTTTCATTACTTCTTGGTTGCTACATGCCGTCTATAAGATTCATGCTTCCAGATTAATTATGATGGGAAACAGGCCAGATGACCTAATACGAAAAATAGAACAAGTTGAATCATGAGTAAATTTTGCTAAATATCTGACATACCCTTCTGTGAGAATTGTGCACTTACGTTCCCCTGGAAGTGGAAGGAAACGGTTTTCTGATTACATTGATACACTAATACACACATGACAGTTTAACAAATTCTGTAAATCTTTTGCCGAGTTTTCATGTATACTGTCCGATTCATGTGATACTTAGATAAACCATCCAAATTCATGCACACAGAAACAACTGAACTGTGACTACTGCGTTTTTAATTTTTATTTCATGTCTTTAATTGTATCGCTGTAAGACAACACCAAGCTTGTTAAAATAAGGAGGAATTATGTTGTTTATAAGGTGGAAATGTTTTTAAAAACGACCCGAGAAAACAAAAGTGATGTCAGTATCTTACTCTGTAGGTGATATAACGTGAGTATGAAACTGAAATGTCAGTGCATGCTAGCTCCCAGAGAAACCTTGAACTTCGTACACCTTTTAGAAACGCATTTCGTGAATGTGATTCTTTTTATTTGTAACCGCCATTTATTATTATTCTCGGTGGCTGCAGATGAGCCCCCGCGAGCTATCTGGTGCGTGTGCGCGTTGACGTTTTCAAGGATAACCGGCGCATAAGTTGAACGCCCTTCTTTATAAAAAATCCCCTCATGGACATTTTCGGATTTTGGACTCGAAAGAATAATTGCAATGAATTTGCGGCGAAGCTTTGTGCAAATGCTGGACGATTGCAGTATTGGAGGAACATGGGCAAAAAGAGAAAGGTTTATAGTAAAATATGGCGTTCGTGCACGTAGATTATTATTTAGACTTCTTCGTGTTCTTTTCAGTTTCTCACAGTCTTAGCTGTAGAACTCGGGTTACACATAGAAAGTTGGTTCTTAGATATGTTTATGGTCTAAGTTTAAATGTAAAATTTTATATACCGTATTTGCCACTATAATTACGAAATTTTAAAATATATGTGTACATCTAAAACTGTATAATGAGGAGCTTAATAACTTGTACTCTTCTTCAAGTATAATTAGAATTATCAAGTCAATTAATGTGACACTTGAACTCAAGCTAAAGTCCGAAATCCCTTCGGCACTGGACAGAAAATCGGTTCGTATAGAGGACATTACCACAGTGCAGTTATCAGTGATCAATAAAAATAATATAGGTATTTTGAAGCTGTCGCAGGTACCCCAAAATCATCCCTCCGGCATGCCTTTGGCAGAATCTCCTTTAGATAAGCTAAGCGGATTAGTAGTTAACTTGAGTGAATGTGTTTAGACGACTTAATAAGAAAGAAATAAAATGTAGGCTTACAAGAAGGCTTCTTAGTTACAGTCAGTATCGCACCGATGGAAGCTCCGTCATTTATTTTGCTTTCTTAATGTTTCGACTCTCGTTTCAAGTTTTCATGAATTGAAACGGATCGCCATAAACAGTGAGAAGTTGAATTTATTTAGGTATGTCCACTTTCACTGTATAGTGGGCGTGGTATACTTAATTGCGCATTGATATTCGTTCATATTAATTAATTAATTAATTAAGCATTAATTAGATGAAAACGCTGGGTTTGCAGTTCTATTTTCGATATAACGCCAGCAGTCCGATGAATGTCACCCAACATTTCGTAAGAACACACCGCCTTCATTTTCAGGTTCGAAGAGTGAGTCAAGTAAAAAAAAAAAAATAAGCAAGAAGCAGTGGTAAGTATAGCTGAAGATAGGTTACATCACAGAAGACTGATAAGGTTAACAAGCTGATCAGAAAGAACCCAACCATAGTGCAGCTTTTTTTTTAAGCACAGAACTTCAGTGTTTCACACTGTCGCCATTGCTGGTTGATAGCATATTTAATGACGATATGTTGGAACTGTGGAGGTTCTGTAGCATCCAGTACTGTAAGAGCATGGTGTTTATTTAGTACAACGAACTGGAAAGATCTTCGGAGAAAACAGTTGCGGACTAGCTCAAGGTACTGTATCACCATACACTTGGGAGACCATGAATTACTGAATTATAAAATTGTATTAATTGTTCATAATGGATTTGTAATAAATTATAGAATAATTATAATTTCTTCATATTGGACCGATGTCATTTGTTTGAGGTAATCATCAGTGGAGATTTTAAGTGCTCGGATATGCTTATTTTTTACAGCGATGTGTTGCTTATTTATGAAACTTGAATCGAATTATATGGGACAGCCAGCTGGAACTGCATTGTGCTCTGAATTATTTCTTTCGGCATTCTGGGAACTGAATATTTGCATTTAATGTCAACAACCATTTCAGAAAGGAAGACATCGAGCAGCTGCCTGCTTATGTACATTAATTGATTCTACTTGTTCATTATAATGATGGATATTTTGTTTTATTTTCAGGTATATTCACGGTGATGTGTTACAACGTGTTGTGTGATAAGTATGCAACTCGGCAGATGTACGGTTATTGCCCGAGTTGGGCCCTGGAGTGGGAATACAGGAAAAAGGGCATCTTAAATGAGATCCGGCATTACGCGGCAGATATAATCAGTCTCCAGGTGCGTTTAAGTTCGTAAATTATTTTAAATATGTATGTTTCATGAGAGAAGTAAGAATAGGTAATATATTTGTGACATAGCTGTTAAACAGGTGTGGGAAGTTGCTGCTGTAGTGAATTCACTTGGCTATGAGTATAGACAGACATGAAGATAAAGTTCAATGCTCCTATGTCATGCATTCAGAAACTTGTAGCATTTGAAGTTGTTTTCGCGATCGTTTACGTTTAATGAGGATTTATATCTTGTTAGCTCATAACATATAAAAGAAGCTTAGGAGGTGGCCTACAACTAAAGGCACCGTTTTATATGTCGGAGTTGAGAAGCTGTACGTAGGAGTCAAATGTTGGTCTTTTCAAAGGATGAGATGATGAGTATCTTCTCTCAGTAAGAAGAGTAAATTTGTCCCTGTGCGTATTTAAGTGGCGCCCCATGAAAGAAGTGTGTGAGTAACTGAGGCATAGCTTTATGCGTTCTGAACCCTGGCATTAGACGGGGTTCAGGCTTTGGCCCCATTACCACCAGAGAAAGAATCTGCAGTATGTACTTGATAGCGGGCTGGTCTCAATGTTGTGTGGAATATAATGTTTTCTTTCTGTGCTGGGATTCGATCCTCAGCCACTCAGCCGTTGGCTTTTACTTTATTGATTGGTCTGTACTGGCTAATATCATGTCAGCAATATAGTGTAACATGTTGCGCGACTGAGAACCCCCCTCCTCTCCACGGTAACGTAGCGCTCCCCGCCACTCCCCTCCGCGGTGACGTCACGCGGTGACGTAACGCGCAACGCTAACGTAACCGTAATCAACGTCCTACTGTGACGTGGCACTCATCACGCCACAGGCAAGCACTGCAGCTATATAAGTGGATGCACAGTGCGTATCGATCAGTTCGAGTTCGAGTTCCAGTGTGGCTACCGCCGAAGACATTCCGAGTTATAAAGTAACAGCCAGCCGACTACAGTTGGAGTATAGCAGCCGTCGCGGTAAGAAGATCCGGACGTGTGTGCGATTGTGTAATTGGGAGCGCGTGATACAGTGATACATAGCTCCCCTACTGTCAACGTGGTTACTACTGAAGACAGAGTGAACTGATTTGCGCATAGGGTTATAAGTCGTGAAACCCCGCAACAGTGTTAACAGATTAATGCGCTTAGGGTTATAAAGTGTGAAACCCCGCAACTGTGAGATAAGTAATTGTAGCCGTTATTTGTAGATTGTTAAATAAACCAATTAACCATCTCTACGGCGTCTTCGGTAACGTAAACACGTTACACTGGTGTCAGAAGTGGGATCAGTAACGCAAAACACGTTACAATAGAAATCATGTTCGAACCATTATATCAGCGTTTATACAACTGAGTGGACGGTATCTTGGAGTTTAGCATGAACATTTATGATAGCATAATGCTGATGACTGTTTTAACAACATTTTGTCCACGACGTTGACGTCATAATAATAATAATAATCATCAATGATCCTTACTTCAGGGTACAGGAGATCATACTGTTCTGTCATCAGCTTCACATCCTGGGCGGCCAGTACCTCTTCTTGCACGTAGTGAATATTGAAAGGCTTCCTTTTGTATTCTTGCACTTTCCATTCTTTCCAGATATTATAACGTATAGATAATATCTAGTCTCTATATCCTTCTGTTTAATATAGACCTATTTGTAATTCCTTTTGTATTTCATCATTTGTAACCCTCTCCGTTCTTTTGCGCGCTGAGGAATCCAGATCTTAGAAGTGTTATCGCTGCATATTGAATTTATGTTGTCTTTCCTTGTTCTTGACCCCGGCTCCAGTAAACTGTTTTCTTATGTTGTAGGAGGTTGAAACCAGTCAGTTCTACAATTTTTTCCTTCCGGAACTAAAGAAAGACGGCTATGACGGAATATTCTCTCCAAAATCTAGAGCCAAAACAATGGCAGAGAATGAACGGAAGTTTGTCGACGGATGCGCCATTTTCTACCGGACAGCGAAGTAAGTAATCAATTGATTTGTAGGCCATGTTGACTTTAGGGATTTGTAAATTGATAAATGCAAAAAAAACTTCAGTCATTACTGGTGTAGATAAAATTCAGGTACTATTATGATCGAGGACGTTTAAATTGGTGTGGCATGTAGCACGTATGGAAGAGTGAAGGTGCGTACAAGTTTTGGTTGTAAAATATGAAGGAAGGGGACTACTTGGAAAACCTAGGCGTACATGGGAAGATAGCATCGAAATCATTCTTATATAAATAGGATTGGAGGTTGTGGACTGGATTCATCTGGTTCAGGATACAGCTGTTGTGGAAACATTAATGAACTTTCAGGGTCCATAAAATTCTTGGAATTTCTTGACTAGCTGAGCAAATATTAGCTTCTAAAGAAGGGTTCGGGTCCGTGGAGTTAATTGTTTAGTTGACAGAATTAGATGGATGAATTACTGTTTACGAAGACAAGTCTAAGCGTATAAATTTAGCACTGAGCCTGCTTGTTGCAGTCACGGTGCTGCCTAAGGTGGGTGTACGAAGGTGGTATTACGATTTCAGATCCCACGTAAGATACGTCCGCGTTTTTACGTCTTTTACTGCCCTGGTTAAATAGAGGCCTTAAAATGGACCGATGCCCAGTTCCAGGATTCATATAAAATATTTGAAAGGTGCCTGGTTTTCGGTAGGAATCCTGAATTGAAACTGACGAGAGGGCCTAAACAGTGACCGCTGAAGATAAAGAAAAACAAGAAGTTGACAATAATTTTTTGTTCTGTGGTATCTTACCGACCTGCGCCTGTTTTTTTATCGCGATATATGGAAAATTGCTTGGTTTTGAGTTAAATACCTTGGCACAAAGCATGCACGCATGCCATCAGTGGCTTTGAAACGGAAATGCAGTTCCTTGACGTGTCACGTGACCTTTACTTGTCACATTTTAGTGTTTGCCGCGTGCTTATCCCCGTCAACTGTCTACCTTGTCATGTGACGTGATTTGGCAGACGAAAATTGCTTTGTCTTTGAAACAGATAACTGCATAATTCAGAACTTGTGAGGTGATGTCCTTTATAGTAGGCACGTGCTGTTTGTATGTGTAGAAGTCTGGAGTATATATATTTATGAGGGAACATTCCGGCTTAGCATCACGGCAAGCAGAACGCCAGTGGTCTCTGCCAGATCTCTTCAAGTATTTGACGGTTCAGCAACCGAAATTTCTACTCCGTTTTGCTTCGAGTACAGGGTGTTTAGCAGAATGTTTGGATCTAGGACGAAGGTAGTATCAGGAGGATTGGAATTCCATAATTTATGCTCATCATCCACTAATCAAGGAGGATGAGATGGGAGGGACATATAGTACATATGGGAGACATGAGAAACGCACACAAAACTTCGGTCTGTAAGTTTCATGGGAGGAGACAACTTGGATGGGGGATACTATTAAAATGGCTCTGATGTGAATAGAATGGGGGATGTGGACTGGAATCATTTCTCTCAGGATGGGCATCTGTGCTGAGCTTCGTTGAACAGAGTAATGACACGTTAGGTTCCATAATGACTGAGAATTTATTGAGTAGTTAAGCGACTATTAGCTTCTCAAGAAGAGCTCTGCACACAGAGTTACTTTTATTTTACTTGGAGTACTTATGTTATCGCTCGTAAAGTAAAGAAACGGGATATGAGGGTGTGGACTACATTCAGGACTACATACACCGGTCACGGGTCCTTGTGAAAAGGGGAATGAAAATTGGGAATCCATAAAAAGCCGATAATTTCTTACCTACTGAACTGTATAGTTAAGGACTTTGCCCCATGTAGTTGTAGGTTTCTTTTAAATTTACAGTAAACCTTCCCAATTGACGAGGGATACGTTCCTGTAAACACTAACGAATTTGGAATTCTCGATGTTGCAAACTTAATCCATGGGAAATGTGAAATAATGTTAATCGCGAGGCAAAACATAGGGTGTGAGAAGGTAAAATATATGAGAACATACAAGTATACAAAAATCACTAAATAATGGTATTGTATATTAAATATATATTTATTAATAATAACGATATTTAGTAATATAATTATGAAGCCAATGAGAATCCTCCAAAGAGGACGATTGATGCGGGCTGGAGCTGGCCAAGGCGGAGGTTTTGGGCTGAAGAGAATCTGGTAATGGTCACTTCTATGTCAGGACGGTTACCTGCAGTATTTTCCCAGATCATAATTTTGTTTTTCTTCTGTGACGTCACTGTATATAGCTTCGGTTATTCCAAAAGTCGGCCAGCTACTGACGCATACTCAGCTTTACCCATTCTAAGCCGATTTCTCATCATTACTTTCTTCCGCCCTTTTGGAGCAGAAACATCAACAAGATACCGGCAATTATCCGGTAACAATAGAGCGAGCAAGCTACCTCCTTCATGCTAGGTTCTTGCTGGGCTTCTTCTCTGACCCTGAAAATGGAGGCGACGTGTTACTCCTAAACGTCTGATTTCTGACGGCCTACATGACATATCCCAGAAGATAGATTCCTCCATAAGATAAAGTTGCCGTTGAGCTTAATTAAGCACCGCGCCTTGGAGATGCAGTTAAAACTTCACGTATTCTTAATATTGACCTTAAATGGATATGAATGGTCAGTTTCATTCATCGGCAACTTAGTCCCCGGTACCCTTTTGAAAGATGTTTCTGTGGGCGCGTAGCGTGTCTGGATGTAGTATCAAAGAGCAGAATCACTCCCCTGCTACGTATCGAATCCAACCAGTAATTGCCTTACTGACTGAGCTGTACAGGTTTCATAAGCAGCAACAATAAAAATAACAGTAATAAAGTTAAGAGACGTATTCTTTCAATGGGATGCAAGCATATTTGAGCAGTACATTATATTCTGCTGCATTCATTAACAGTTCACACAGTTTGGTTCTGCTGCTACAATTAGTTCCGTAGTTGGTTCATGCTTAATCTCATGTATCTCACTGAATGCTTGAGGGTGGAGTCCCATACAAATTGGTTTTCATCCTCGTACAAGATACGCCATCGGTTTTTTTTTTTAATTCCCTGGTGATATTTACATGGAAAGTGGGAGGTGTGGTGGCAATTAGATCCATTGTCTGCCTACAATTGATTTGTTGTCCCTGCAGATGCTACTGAGACAGATTGTTTCGTTATAATACCATCTGGGGAAGATAACTAGAAAACAGGAAATAGTCGAGCCAACAGTTCTCTTCAAATCCAAGTTCCGGTAGTTTGGTACCTTAATTCATTATACCTACAATGCAATAAACAAAGTGCATTCCCAGTTGTAATTAGGCATGTGGGACCAGTGCGCATTATGACTGATGGTTATATGATTTGCCATAGATCACATATTTAGGACGGAAATAACTCATATAAACTATAGACGAGCTCAGGATAAGGACCAGTGGCTCACTGCTATGAGCAGTGTTCCATAAAAGTTGGGAGTATTTCTCGAGTGATGGATATTAACGTCTGAAGAAGATTCTGCGCGATGGGGTTCTTTATTGTGACTTGACAGCTGAAAGCCGGAATAGTCCATTGCTAGACAACGGGCTCGCCAACACGTTCTGTGGAAATGCGGATTCGTAAAGACCGACTTGGCACGGAAAGCGCTTCCCGTGTCAACGGAATCAACAAAACAATATCCATGGATACGCACTAGACGACATAAGAAATCGTGCAGAGAGTTAGTGACTCATTCGCAAGGCAGTCGCAGGAGATGTGACCGATTCGTGAAACGGAATTGGAACCAATTCAGTCACAGTGGAAGAGAAGGCGCCCTTAGTCCAGTAAGGAATGGAGCAATTCTTAGACAGTGATCGATTGTGAACTGTTATAATTGAGTATAATTGTATAAGAAGACGTCAGTAAATCTAGTCATCCAATACAGAACCCGTTATTATTAGTCACGCAAGCCCCTCATACGTGATATTATATTATAAGCAACCTAGATCTTTATTTTTGTTCGGTACCTTAAGTATGGCCTTTTTATATGTAGTATCGTTCTAAGTTTATTTACAAACGCATCATCAACTATATATGTAATGTAGAGTGCAGTTGTGGGTGATTGTGAAGGATTAGTCGAAGGGGTTCGTAAAATCAATTCAGGGGGGATGAGAGAAGAGATCACAAATGAACGCAAAATTTTGATCAGAATACCCCAAAGTGAGATACATATACGTGAATGCGAACTATCTCTCTAAAAGAACTAGGATGTGAAGATGCAGACCTAATTTATCTGGCTCAGGATACGATGACGGGATGTTGTGAACACGGTATTGAATCTTATTACGTCATAAATGGTGTGGAATATCTGGACCAAGTGAGCAACTGTTAGCTTCTCAGGAGGGACACTGTTCCATCGAGTTAAGGAAGAGTTGTGGCTGTCGCGAGTTATGTTAGATTAATTACGTTTGTTTTACTTGTATGAAATTCATTTTTTGCGTAATGACACATGTGTAAAACCGATGTAGTTTAATCGATTATAAAACCCATTTAACTACACGAGGCAGATTGTGCCGGTGTCTTTGTAACGCCCTGTAAAGTATGCAGCCCGTGTTCGTGCCTTTGGGGCTCGCTGTTACATTCACGATGTCTGCAAAGGCGGTTTAAACTCTGTTGCTGCTGAACATAGCAGGAAAGCATGAACGTAGGTGGGCAGGTAAGGAATCTGCATGCAGAGGCTCCTAATTGCTGGTTGCCGTCGCCGATCGTCTCTCTGGCTGAGGGGGGAAACTGCCACGCCCGGAAAATAATATGTCGTGCTCATTCAGACGGAAATTTGATTAAGAAGACAGAGACCTACCACTTCATTCGTTATATAATTATACGCCACACTGCTTGATCCGTGTGGACTATAGTACTTATATAGCATTCTACTGCTGTAATCATTTTTTGCAGTGGTGTGACCAGCTCAAAAACACGTAAGTCCGGAAGATCTAATAGGTATATAAAAACCAGAAACATGACGAAAGAAAAGGCAATGGAAGGAACAGT